TTGCACTGGAAATCTGACACTTATGAATTTGCTGTGTTGGTTCTAGGGAGCTAAGCATTTTACTGAGGGTGCTATGATGGATATTTTTTCCCCCTATAGTTATCAACACACACACATTAGTATTGTTATTTTAATCAGACTGATTTGCGTGTATTTGACGCTTAGACATCACCACGAAGCTTTGAGCCATTAGCCAGATTACTTCAAGATAATATATATTTTATCTTATATATTATCTCATATATTGTTTAGGTTAAAACAGCATTCATGACAAAGGGGATACCCTAGTATTGACCCTGTGCAACTACGTCACTTAATCATTCAAAGTGCCATAATGTACATCGGAAGTGAGAATCTGGAGTAAGGAACTGAGCGGCTGAAGTTGTTTTCCAAAGTTATTTTTGTCTTTATTCATGGCTTCTATTTGTTCAAGTCAAGCTAATTTGTCTGTGAACGTAACACACCTGGTTGGGCTCATATGTGAACCGACCCGTACCTCCTTCCTCCTGATGTGTTGATCAAATTACCAACTTTGCCTGAATTCACACCACATGATTTATGTCACTATGTCATAAACAGCGTTTCCCCTTAAACCGGAGCAGCCTTACAAACGTACAGAAAACGAGACGCTAATCATTTTTTCCCATACATGCTAGGCTACATGACGGCGTGGCATTGTTTCCATGGTTACTGATGGTTAGACGCTACCTTCTCCATAATGCGATATTTGATATCTTTCTAATCATACTTACGAACGTTAATTTTCTTACCTTGCATAAAGTGTTCGCTGTAAATCCGCGGTTACACAAAGAGCTGCCGGTCATTATGATTGACTGCTGCTATCCATCGCTGCATTTTTCCTCATTAAAATAAAATGACAAGCTTGGTTTTGGCCCTTGACTGTTTGTGCAGCCAACCGCGCAGCACCTTGTGACCATTTAACAAAATCAACTAAATAAAAGCGATATTAGGCTACCACATTTACATATTTTGACAGGCTATATATAGGAGAGCATAGATTTGCAAATCCATCGTGGTGGAGACAGTGACGTCGCGTGCAAAGGGTCATATTGTCATATTTTTTATTTTTTTTAAATTAACTTGTGTTTATTTAATTGCCTAATTAACCACTACAGGGCTTGATTTGACTATCAATAAGTGTCCTTATGATAAAAAATGTTATACTTACTACCGATTAACTTCGTGCTGACTAACATATGGTAGTTTGCAATGATAAACTCTGTCAACGGTCAGTTCATCTAGATAAAGGACATACACTTTCTGACAAATTGTGACAGCAGATTGTTCAGTTGCTGACAAATGACATTGAATGATTGGGAGAGGATTGCTCTGCGTGTGCATGTCACGGAAGTGATAATACGCATAGACAAAGTTCAAATCCTCTTCGTGATGTTTTTTTTAAAACTCAGTATATAATAGTTTGTTTCTATTTTGTGTCTTTCGATGAAAATGCCGCAACAACTACATATAAGTAATGTTAAATCAGATGAAAAAAAAATCTAATATTTTCTGGGGGTGCTATGTGACTTTTCCGGGGGGAGCTATAGCCCCCCCTCCCCCCCCCCCGGCGCCGCCCTGGCACTGCAACTGTTGTTGGAGCTTTCTGATTTGTTTGTTGATCCATTCGGTCTCTTCATTGTCTGTTTTCTCTCCTACTAGAATTACAAGTTGGCTGTTGATCTGAAGCCTGACCAGTCTCAGGCCTGGATGAACATGGGAGGGATTCAGCACATCAAGGTGATAACGTTTAAAAAAAATCTAAATTATGTTCACATGCCATCCATAGTCGCACCCTAGCTATGGATGGCATGTAAAAGAATAGTCTTTTTGCTATCCAGTGTTGTGCACATTCATGAAATTTCTGGATGAAAACAATAGCATATTAAGTGCCTGTATACTATACAATATTATAGCATAGAAATACTCTACAGTTGTCAAACGTTGAAAAATTGAACCCAAAGCTTGGAAATAGTAGAAATAGCAAGGATGGTCACTGAACGCTATGTACAGATCATTCATATGTTGCATCATGCAGAACTTGAATCAGTTCCTTTAAAATAACTGGATGAATTAAATCAGAATTAAAGACTAATAATTATCATATGTAGATCTGTTTATTACTATTCAGTGATTTGGAGGCGACAGATGTCCAGACTATGATTAAGGATAGCAGGAATCATAGTCAGGTGTGAGTGCAGATCTGTGTGCTCCTTCCTTCGATACAAGTGCAATAATTATTTAGTTTAATTGTACTGTCTTGCATCCTTATTTGAATGTAGTACATGTGTTAACATGTCTGGACACAGGGAGACTATGCAGCTGCCAGGATGTACTATGAGCGGGCCCTGCATCTGAATCCTGGTTCCAAACTTCTCAAGGAAAATCTGGCAAAGCTGGACCGGCTGGAGAAGAGACTGACAGGTGGAGCATAACATGGCAGACATGAAATTTGTCCTGAACAGAGGTCAGCAGCTCGCTCTGGGAGAGGACTTTTGCCAGGTCACTGCATCAGTCCAGCCTGTCAAAAACAGAGCAGGAGAGAAGGCTTGCTGGTACATCTGTGTGCAGCAGAATGAAAAGGAGAATAACACAGAAGACCACAGAAGACCACTGGAAGTTCTGCGACTTCATAAGCTTTGTTTATCGTGATTTAATTTAATAGTGTAGCCTACTTAGATGCAGACTTATTTTCTAAATAAGTATATTCACCAATTGTAATTCAGTCCTCTGTTTTCAGGCATCATTCCCATATTTATTAGTTCAAGAAATTGAAAAGAATCAGAAAGGGTTCTGACCTGAAGGGAACGTGCCTGAGAGCTCCTTAGAAGTCAAAAGGACATTCTGAAACAAAGGTTTGTGTACTAGAGAATGGTGTTGATGTCAGTGATGGACATCACAGACAACAGGGTGGTGGTGGTAGGAGACCATCCCTCAATTGTTGGGTTCTTGTTCCATCCACCTCTGTTGTTGTGTTGTTGGGCAGGATGTCACCCACCTTGCCTGCTGGTGGCGGTCACAGGGCCTGGCTAGTGTTTTGTAGCCTCGCCTGTGGCACAGTGTGGCCCAGGGCAGCTGTGGCTAGTAGCTACAATCCAGTAACTTGCCATCAGTGTGTAAATGGGTGAATGACTGAATGTAGTCATTCACCCATGACTACATGGGTGAATGACTACATTCACCCATGTATGGGTGAATGTAGTTTTGGGATCTTTGGGATCTTCTGAACTTGATAAAGCACTATACAAGTTCACCTTTGTACAATAGAATGAGAGTTCCATTCTATTGAACCCTCATAGAATTCTTTCAGGGTGTAGCTGAAACTTACCACTGAATGCATAGTCTGTCTCTCTTCTCACTGGTGGCAAAACTCCACACCACCAAGTCAGAGGAATGTAGTGCTTACCCACACTTTATTTTATCCTTAAGTCGTGAATCAATCAGGGTTGTGTTTGAGTGTGTAAACCAGGGGTGCCCAATACGTAGACTGCAATTGACCTGAACTGTTTTTTCCACAGACACATCCATCAGGAGAACTGAATGTAGGAATAAAATTATTTTCTCAGGTAATGAACAAAAACAGTAATATAGCAAAAAATATATATTTTTATGTGTAGCTATGAATTGATGCAACTGAAGAAATTATGTGTACACAAAACTGAAACAAAAGGATGCCCGCCACAGATCGGGGCCATGACCATCACAGCCAAGTTGTCCGACTCTTGTAGGGTGAGGCATACACAGCAGCAGTATGCTTTATTTATGCAGACTTTTTTGTAAAGGACAGATCAAGAAAACCATCACTCATACTCTCCAGTAAGATTTCAGCACATTTTTATTTAAGTAGAAGTAAATATTAGAACCATCAGGATATGTTGTCCCAGTGCCCCAGTTAATTACAATGGAAATTATCTGTCTGTCAACGGACATGCACCAATTTTTTTTTTTTTGGGGGGGGCAAAAAAGTGGATTAACTTCAAGAAACTTTTTTAATAAAGGTAATGTATACACATTTTAAAAATAAACATTTTCTCCTAACAATATTTATTTCCTAATGCTAATAATTATACATAAAATGACCATTCAAGCTCAACATCCTAAGCAATCAATCAAACCACAAAAGCACAACAGGAAACTGAGATGCACATCTTCTCATCTCAGTCTCAGGAGATGAGGAACTGTACTTTTATGCCTGTGTCCTTGTGTGTCTATAGCAGTGGTTCTTAACCTGGGTTCGATCGAACCC